TGCTGTAGCTGAACCCAGGACACCATGGCATATTAGTGAGTCAGGAAAAGGAAAAAGGGGGCTTCTAACTTTAGGAGCGTTTAGTTCTGAATAGAGCCATGAAATGTCATAGTGTAAATCTTCTTCCCAAGGAGTTTTATGGCAAGTTTGCTATTTGCGGATCATACCTAAACCTGTGGAAAGGGCACTCTGTGTCTCAGTGCTCCTTCCTCTCAATCCCAATGTGGACTCATTCAGAAATTCATTAATCCTAAAGTTGTACAAAATTCCACATGAAATGTCCTTTATTTCAGAGCTTTTCCACTTTGTTTCAAACTATTTAGACTCATTTGTCTCTGTCAGGGATGCAGCACAAAGAGCATGGGCCCAACTAAGCTTACGTCACTTGGGGTCTGTATAGGGGCAACTTGTACTGTTGTCACACTGGTGGCAAAGTTCAACACTGTGAATTTGTGTTTGGAAGATCAGTTTTGTTTCAAAATGCAATCCCTTCCCTCTCCTATACTGTCTGACATTGAGCTTTCCCACATTATTGCTGCAATATTGCAACTGGATCACTGAACTTAGGTTTCCTTTATGAAGCCTTACTCTAACACTAACCCTGTAAATACAATTTTGTGGCAAAATTTACACCAAAATTGAAAAGATAAGCTATTCATTCACTATGACAGATAGCATTTTTATATCCTTTGCATGGGACATAAAAGAACCAGTAGTAAACCATTTTTCCTGTACCTTCCACTCTTAGCTGATGCTGCCCTTGGCTGAGTAAGTTTTCACATTGTCTTTACCAGAGAGCGGGCTACTAAACAGGGATTTGTAATACCAGCACTGTTTTTCCTTTCCATGCTGACACCTTGTGGTAATGTTACTACCATGTTGAGAAATTACTAGGAGGCATGCTGTATGTTCTCTTTTTGTTTTCTTGTTCAGTCTGTCAGGGCTCACCCTGTGTTCTGCAGCAGTCACTTCCTGGGGCAGAATTGGTTTGTGTCCTCCTATAATACAGCTGCTGAGCTTAGTTGTTGTACCTGAGCCTAACACTGCTGTGACAAATGGAAGTGTGGGATTTACTATATTGTATGAGAGCAGGATGTGAGGCACAGAACGCTGTACCTTTGTACAAGTATAAAAGTACTTCTGCCCATTGATCAAGAGGGAACTTTGATAATTCAGGCAGAATTATCATTGTGACTATGAGCTTAATCACTGTAACTGCCAGAGTCCTGGATTAGGCATTTCCAGGCTGCCTCATTTTGGCTCAGGCAGTGTTTCACTGCTTAGCAGAACTGGAGCCATTCTTGCCTGTGGTCCTACATTATCATCCACTTCAGCTCCCCTTCCAAGGCTCAGACAGTAGCCATGAGCCTCTTCAATTGTTGAAGAGGTGGACTTTTGCTTTCTTATGTCTTGCCTTTGCCTTGGACTGTGCCTACTTCAGGGCAGCGCCTGTTTGAAAATTCACTCTTTTATTATCCCTCATTCCAGTAGATGTCAGCAAAGGCGAATGCAAAGCACTTTCTCCGCACCATCAGAAATAACCTGTTTCAAGAGCGCTGCCGGAGAAAGGAGTCTCAGAGAAGGAGGGCTCTGGAGGTAGTGGAGGAGACGCACTTCCATGCTCACAAAAAGACTCTGTGAGTTTCTGTTTCCAATGAGTTTATGATCTCTGAATAGTATGCCAGGCTGTGGATATTGCTTGATGATGTCCTTTGAGTAAGCGATTTTGTTACGCAGACACCATGTCATGATTTTTTCCATTAAAAAGGGAGAGCATAAATGGGAAGTTTCTGCACATTGTTCTGTGTCTTAACCATGATTACCATACTGACAACATAATGACCAGTTGTCTTTTAACATGCTTGTGTCCTACTTCCCTCATTCCTTATGTCATCGCTCTCTCCATGCCATTTCTTATGCTCAGTCTAGGGTCAAGCATTGCAAATATTTAGTACCTGTTTTAAGCACCTCCTCTGTGACCAATTCATTGGAAATTAACTGTGAATGCTTTCCACATGAGACCTACAGTGGGTTCACTGACAGTCATTCTACCCAAGTCCCACTGAATTTCAAACCCTGTGGGATTACTCACAATAATGAGTAGCTGATCTCACCATTCAATTCTTTCAGATGAGTTCTATGTGCTTTTAGTTAACATTTAAATTAATTACTGTATTTCCACTGGTCACAGTGGTTAATAACGAGCATTGGAAGTCATGTTGTGACTTTGCCCTGCAGATTTTCCTTCCTTGCTCTGAGATTTTTGTTGAATTTAAGTGTAAAACCTGAACGGAGTGATTATACAAGATAAGCACTACAAACATACAAAGGATGAGATTCCTTCCTAGTTGAGTAAAGACCTAGCAACTCTCTTTCATGTGTTCTCCAAATGAGGCTTCAGTGAGACTGAAATAGGGAAAAAAAGATTGCTCCTCTCTAAAGTAATTAATTCTTGTGTGAAGGATGAGAAAAATCTGTTTATAAAACTTGATTGTGCTACACTGCTAGGTAAGTACATTGCTATTAGACACTAATTTTTTATACACAGTAGAGAACAATGGATGATTTTTACAGTGATGCTTATGGAGAAAATTAGTTCAGTGTTTGTTTTTTAGACTGTGGTGAAATGCAAAACATTTTTCACTGCTAACATTTCCCAACTAGTATTCAGTGACAAAAAATATTTCTTCATTTTGAATGTCATTTAATCCTTCTGGGAGCAAACAAGATTTCTCTGTAATTCTGCGGGGTTTGCTTACCTAATGCTTTGGTAGCAATGACAGAAAGAAGAATTTGTTTGGGGTTGCTGTTACAGGTGTTAGTGAGGCTGATAGCTATCTGGGCTTTTCCTAGCATAGAATGGTCTGAACAGCAGGTATCTGGCCCCTTGCTATGTTTTCGTAATTGAATCTCCCAGCATATATAGATCTCTGCTAAAGGAAGCAAAAAAGAGAAGCAGCAAATTGCACTGGTAATAAATGGGTGGAAAGAAGAACCTGTTGCTGAGATTCTGTTGAAAGAGTGGAATTTGTTTTCATTCTTTCAGCTAAAATATGCCATCAGGCAGCTAAACTATACTTCTTGCTTATTCAATAGCACAACTGTCTGTCTATTTACAGTGCATCAGTTTTATTTTGATCTTTATGGGTACCAAAACCATATAATGCTTGATCCTTTCTCTTTTTTTTGTTCATATACAGTCCCTCTGCAGAACTCAGTGCTTCATCACTACCTGGCCCTGAAAACCTGTCTTTCTCAGTGGACAGACCCATCCTGGAGTCACCCAAATCAATATCTGAAAGCAGAACTGTAGTGCAGAAGAGTGAGAATAACAGCAAGACACCAGAGCAAGGCAAGACAGAAACTCAGGTGAGCAAAACATGAACCTGATATAGTGCTAAAGCTGTGAAGAAGACCTACCAAGTAAACTATTTGTCTTCTAATTGCTAGTGAAAAAGAAATGTAATGGGCAGCTTCACCTTTCTGTTAGTTTTTCACTTACAGAAAAGAATTTGGAATCTGAAAACTTAGTGAAGCTTCAATTTGATACTTTCCCAAGATTAGTGCCTAACTCTTTGACTTCAGTGATCTTGAGAAGTATTTGTAAGAATATTTGCTCTGTTAGTTTTCATTTTTTTCCAAGTGGTCTTAGTTGAAGATGATATTAAAGACTAGCTAAGGCTGGAGGCCTCTCTCTATTCTGACAGAAAAAATGCCATCCTGTCTTCCAACTGCAGGCAAATGTCAAGGAAGGACATCTTAATTCTTGTTAGACTCAAGCCATTTTTGTCACCATGGCAATAGCTAGAGGACAGAATGGGCCCTTCTTAAAGATAAATCCAGAGTAGTGTCCACTCCAACTAAAATAACTCATGCATAAAAGCTCTCCACTAATCCATTTCCAGGTTCCCTGCATAGAAAGAATGCTAGAGGAGAGAGTAGAACAGTGTAGGTAAAAATAAGTGCAGAGCAGTTTTTTGTTTCTATATTTATCTGAGAGGTTGGTAGCTCTGCAGATACGCAGAATATAGGGAACACTGAGTTGTGTTCAAACCACTTTGTATCATCCACTTGTCTTGTTCTTCCCAGAAGCCAAGGGTGCAATAGCTGAGAACTAGCCTGTGCATGTCAAGCCATTCAGGCTACTACTCTGGTGATGCCCATTGGAAGACCTCTCTTTTAGGACTCTGCTGCCCAGCTCAAGCTATAGTGGCAGCCAGCACATAATCTGCAGGAGAAGCTGTAGGCAGACATTGCTTAAGCATATCATTTTGATGACTGGCATTTGTTGTTTTAGAAGACAGCAAGATGGGACTTGCATCCCCCTATTGGGATTGTCATGTGCATTGCTCTCTTGTTCATTTTCTCTCTGGGCTGAGAATTCTTTTAGAGCAGTTCTATACTGATTTCCAACATCTTGTAGTGCAGATTATTTCAATGTTGCTTAAAAAGATGCAGACTGTAAGTCAAATTATAGCTTTTAATAGAATCCGTGTGCTTGGAGGTGCTGGGGCCCCAGCTCTTAGTCTTAAAATTTCCTGGCAGCCTTGATTCCAGCCCAGCTTATACCATGTGTCTAAACCAGTTTACCTCTAAAGCAGTGTTTGCCTCCCTGACTTCTGGGCTACAGTCCTCTGCATGGTTCAGAGACTGCTACTTCCATCCAAAGACCAGGAGCTTCTCTCTTCTACATTCAGTCTCTCCCTCCATCTTCTTGTCCCAAAGCAGTTGTGGGACTTCACAGAATTATAGAATCACAGAATGGTTTGGGTTGGAAGGGACCTTAAAGATCATCTCATTCCAAACCTCCTGCCATGGGCCAGAACACTTTCCACTAGACCAGGTTGCTCAAAACCCCATCCAGCCTAGCCTTGAACACTGCCAGGGATGGGGCAGCCAAAACTTCTGTGGGCAACTGGTTCAAGTGTCTCACTACCCAAATCAAAATATTCCATTTAGCAGAAATTCCAGGGAATGAGTGTTTTGTTTTAATGTAAAACTAAACAAATTCTCATACACTTAGAATTCATCACAGGACAATAAATTTGCTTTATAGAGTAAATTTTCCAGTCAGTTCTAATAGCCATTAGAAATGCTTTAATGCATCAGATGACTGCAATCAGTTAAATAAAATAAGTTAGCTAGTAAATCTGCAAGACACATCAAATCCCAAATTTGCCGTGCCCTCTTGTAGCAAAATTTGCATAGAAAATGAAATGTTATTGCTGATAAAGTCACGAACAGATATTTTTCTCTTTTTGATTATAGGCAATAGCGTCTTTTGAAGCAGATGTGTTAAAAATGCACGAATCCATTAGAAGTATTCATAATGAGAGCAGGTAGGTAAATGCAGTAGTATGATGACTGAACCTACTCTATTTCCTACAGTATGTTCAGTTCCCTCTGTTCCTGTTTTGTTTCATTCTCATGAGTCAATGTACAATTATTGCTCCAAATTCACAAAAGGGCACTAGATCAAAATAATTGCATTATCATTGTAGGTCTGTGTCTTTACCCCTCTCTATTCTCACATGAGAAGACAAAGAGATATGACAAAGAACTTCAGCTTTCATTTAGATTATCAGTAGTTGAGAGGATATCTGGGAAGCCTGCTCCCGAAACACGGCATCACCCTCTGACCCAGAGCTTATCATATAACTGGGTGAATGAATCACATTACTCATGGGAAGCTCTTTGTTCTTTTTTCTGGACCAACTTCCAGCATTTATGTGCCTGTTCACAGAACTGGGCTCTGAGTTAGTTGAAGGCAGTCACCATTTTACAGTAAAGACCCATTAAATGCTGTTCTAAGGGACGACTGTAATATTAATTTTAAGGTTTGACTTGCATAATTCCAGTTAAATTGATGTGGGTCTTGTCTGTGAGCCAACACATACCCAAAAGAAAGTGAATCAGGTGAACTTCTGGATGCAACTAAGCAAGGGAGAGAACTTTTTCAGCTGTGTGTTGTGAAGCAGTTGGTTTACTACTACAGTGTCAACAAGCTTTTCTGTCTGCCTCCACCTTAGCCGTGGGGAAAACAGAACTGCATTTCTGCCCTGACTTCTTAGAGAAATCCCAACTCCAGAGCAGAGATTTGGTGGTATTTTTGTCATACTGTGCTCCAAGTAGGTAATTTCTAAATCTGCAGTGTGTGTGGGAGAGTGGCACTTCTCACTGCAGATGTCATGGGATCTTTCCAAGGGCAAGTGGCCTGTGCAGGAACTATTTGTACCATCAAACAAACTGCGCTGAAGGAACTCAGTCAAAAGGATAGAGGCTGCTTTTACTCCCTTGTTGCCCAGGTGGAAATGATGGGAATCTTCCAAGTTGTAGAGTTGCCATAAGTGGTTTGCTTTTAGACAGAGGGACTGCTATGTCTTTTCTGTTGCAGCCACCTTTATGGGAAAAGTAAAACCCCAAGAGGCAAGGTCCAGTCCTGGCCATAGTTCCACTCAGTTTGCATCTTTCCTCATCTACAACACTCCTGTTGTTGCTAATTCCAATGGGTACGGCCCAATTCCTGTAATACTGGCCTCTAACCCCAAGGCTGGAAAAATTTTCTGAACTGACAAATAGGAAAAAGCTTGTGCTACAGTGTTTGCTCTTTTCCATGACTGCATATGTTTGTGTATGTGTGATCTAGCAAAATTCCTACCCTTCTGTGTCCCTTGGCAGGTACATGAAGAAGCAGTTCAACAAGTGGAAGGGCAAAATGCAATTCCTTCACAACTGTCAGGAAGACAAAAGCTGCAAAATAGAGGAAAAGCTCCAAAGCCTGAGAGCAAGCCATGAAAACTTACAAATGAAGCTGCAGCAAATGAAGCAAGACGTAAAGGTATAGAGATAAATATAGCAAAAATATTCACAGCTATAGGCAATTGCTGAACACTAACTACTCCTTCTCCTACAGGCAAGCACTCTTGATACTATTTTGTGCACCTTCCACTTGTCTGCTCAGTTATCTTAGGTTCTTGTCTTCAGAGGAAGCAATTAAGCTCTTTGTAGCAGGGATTTACTTGTCATTCTGTATATATTTAGCATCAAGCACAGATACCCTTGTCTGGGATATTTAGATACTATGGCAAATAAAATAATGAGGGGGTATTCCAATATAGTAAGACAATGAGTGAGAAAATTGTTTCCAACAGAAGTGTTAGATATTTCATTGCAGTCTTTTCTTTAGAGAAGAATCCTGTGTTGGCACTGAATAAATAAAATATTCCTTTATCATTCCTAATTGCTGTCTTGTGCTGGGATGCAATACAGACCTCAAACAGAAAATATTTTATTTCTTTTCAATTGTATTGACTCTTGCTCATTTAAGATCTCTCTGAGGTTCTAAAAAGGCCCTTATTTCAACACGGAATTCATACATGTTTGCCACCTGCAGCATGGGTGTAGCATTTTCTGCAATGCTGTTTTTCATGTGTTTTTCAAGGATGGCCAAACATAGAGAAAAGCCAGACACATCTACAGGGTGGCCAGCTTTATAGCATTTGCACATGGAGTCATAGCATCCCATGTGCATGCTGTGACACTGGCCTGCCACAGCTTGCAGGACTGGCTCCACACATGCAGTCAAGTGTCCAGTGCATACACAGTCAGCTCAGCACATCCCAGTTACACCAGGCTCAGTGTTCATGCAGTGGATGGTATTTGCCATCATAGTTCTGTCAAAAAATTCAAGTACAATTGTGTGACAACCAACCTAGTTTTGGAATTCCAAATGTTAACAGGTGTGAGGTGTTTGAGATGTGTTAAATATACACATATATTTTTCCCTAGGTTCAATTGTTTTAGAACAATTTTCCTGCAAATTTATTCTTGGAACATTATTATTCTCACTTTTCAATGGCATGCTCCAACCCTGGTGGTGTTCAAGGCCAGGCTGGACAGAGCCTTGGGCGACACAGTTTAGTGTGTGGTGTCCCTGATCATGGCAGGGGGGGTGGAACTAGATGATCTTAAGGTCCTTTCCAACCCAAACTATTCTATGATTCTGTGATTAAAGCATATAAGGTCTCCAGATTGGAATTGTGGAAAAAATGGCCACATAGATTTGTCCAAACAAATTTTATTTTCCTTTATTGCAGGAAAATGTTTTATTTATGAAAAGAACTGATTTAGTTTCACCAGAAATTAAAAAAAAAAAATAATTATGACCCAAAATTATTTTCCTACCTATTTTAGTACTACCAGCAAACCAAAATATCAATGATTTTCACCATGTAATTTCTGTGTTTTGTCTGTTGTAGACAATGTTCCAGTCATCAGAGCATCCTTTTGGACAGTGTCAATATATGATGCAAAGAAATCCTCATGTCTTGCTGGAAAGGAGAGTGCAGGGTGGTTTGAATCCTCCCCAAGCAAGGCCTACTTCCAGAATATGTGCAGACTGGAAATATTTTAATCCCTCCAACTCTGCAAATAGAATGCAGCTTTTACAGACACCTGAGGTTCCCACTGCAGTGGACTTCACCTTCTCAGAAGACCCACTGGAGTCAGCATCCCTGCAGAGTGACAGACCTCAGGATAAAAAACCAAAAAGGAGTCAAACATATATGCCTGAATTGACAAAAAACTCCCTCAAGGGCATCATGAGGAATATAGTTCTTACTCCCACTGCAGTGCAGATACCACCTGATGAGAAAGAAGTCAGTGAGGAAGTGGAACTGCAGCAGCTAGTGATGAAACTAAAAGATGCATTGTCTCTCCAAGCCCAACCAGGTATAAGTTCTCCAGGTAACTTGACACTGTCTTCACAAGATCATCCAGTTTCTAATACTGTTCATAATCATTTAACCCTCAGATGAGACCCAGAATCTTGCCTTTGCCATTGTAGAAGTATGCCAGCTCTATAGTGCAAGGTAGAGTATATTCCTGTAATGTGGAATATAGCCCCTAAAGTTGGACTAGTTTGAAACAGGGTGAGTCAAAGCACATGAGAGGAAATCAGTCTCAGCAGTCAGTTAAGGAGCAAACTTACACAAGTGAGGGCACTGGAGGTCTTCTCTGTTGCCCCTTCTGTGACACTGTAACTATCAATCTAGTCCCAGGCAGACTTCCAGCAGTACAAAATCCCTTTGTAGGATCAATGGTCTTACACAGTAGAGCTTTGTTCAACACTCAGGATGCCTCACTTTTGATAATGAGGATGTAATAAAAAGAATGACAGCAAAAGCTTCTGTTTCTACAAAATTAGAGATTTATAAAGAGTTTTTTAGGACTCTGACACCATCTAAATCAGCTGAAAGTCTTAAAATCTGTTCTACTTTTCAGTTCAACAGTCTGCTTTGCAGCAGGAA